TATGTATTATTTCCGATTATGCCGATAAATCTACATTGTAAATCGATTTTGAAAGATCAATAATGTCTCGTATTTTCGAGAAAAAAAAAATGTATCATATAATGCAATTAAGCGAGTGTTTTTGAGCGCGTTACGTATCTTCAGTTTTATTTAAGTATCGACATTTAAGTATCCATTTGAATTAATGTAAATATTCTAAAATCTTCGAGTAACGTTTTTATTTAATTAAAATTCGTTACGAAAACGGTATAAAGATTACAATTTATTCTATCTTAACAACGTTTCAACGTCTCTTCTTTCAATTGTAATTGTTGCATACAACGGAATTCCTTCCGCTTTGAATTCGTTTTATAAAATATTCTTCGCTTCTTTTCTTTATTCCTCTTTTTTTTTTACGCGCCATATCATCGGAAACGATATCACTGGTTTCAGAAAGTGTTGTGACCTCAAAGATAGCGATACTATATCAATATGACAATTCATAACTTTTAAAGTTCTTAAGAATTAAGTGATGAAGGCTGCTTTCTACTTATTTCATTAAAAAACTAATGAAAATAAACGAAAGATTAATTAAACGTATACACGCGGAATATTTTCTACATAAATTACAGAAATAAATAGTGTTTTCTATGTAAGTATAGGAAACAAGTATATATATATATATATATATACATACATACACACATGTACCTATATGACTAGGTTTAAATAAATTAAGTTTTTTTAACGAGTCGAAACGAATTAATTAATTAATTAATTAATTAAGAACAACGATTCGAGGTAATTTTAAACTCAACTGTTCGGAAAATAAGCTGACTGTCAGAGCGACATAATAAACGAGGCCATTATAGATTAGAGAATTTGATATTAATCTTGGATTATCAATAGCGATATACTTATCGTGTATGATCGTCAATGAATATCGCTAAAATTTCTACAAATAGTATCATTTTCGAATCTATATCGATGCTTTTTTTTTTTTTTTCTAATAATCAAACATTAATCAAGGATAGAAAATTCAACGATATCTTAAATATAGTTTTACAATCATCTTCGCGACAGTCAACTCATTACCTAAATTTATTTTCGAGGGAAAAAACTATTATCGTAAGAAAATGTACAATTTACAATTTATCCGTCCCGTGTAAATGATGTCGTCAATTGTCGTCATCTAAACGCGAATTGATCCCATTGATTCCATATTTCGTAAAAATCTGAATTATATATATATATATGTTATTTTTTTTTTTTTTTCTCGTATGATAAAGAATATACATTTATACACATCTTGCAAGAACGAAGAAGAAACGAAGAAAACTCGTTTTCGCAGAAAACAGCCGAAAAGATAGATGAAACAAAGAGGTAACGGAGCAGCCTGGTGTCTTCTGGATCGCGATTGGATTCGAATATTTACACGTACGTGGACCATATGTGCGTGTGTTAAATTTTACGAAGTTTATACGTGTGCATGCGTCGTACCTCGAAGATCCCTCGTCGTACGATATACATTTTAAAAATAATTTTTTTCAAGATTTTCGCAGCGATAAATTTTTTTTTTTTTAAGTTTAATTATCAAGAAAGCAAAACGAAACGCTTTCTTTCTCGATACATTTTATATTAATATCGAAATCTTCTTGTTTCGATCTTTCGTTGCCATCGATTTCTATTAAAAAAACTTTCTTTTTGTCTTAATATTACGATACGACAAAAAGTTGCGAATAAATTTTCTTCGTTCGATACTTCGATACTAAGCTGTAATAAAAATCGATACGATATAACGTTTGTCGTACGAAAGCTCTTGCATTTGTTCCTCGAACTTGTTCCTCGTGTTTTATGCTTGCTTTCTTTATTTCCGTTGCTGGCATTGCGGAGCATTAGCGTTAAACGAGTATCGCTAGACGACTATTAGTCTCTTTAACTTGAGAATAATTTTCCTTGGCTTGAGTTTTGGAAATTGTCGAATTTAATTACATTTCTTATTATTAAAAAAGTTGTAAATAAATATGTAAGTTTAATCGTGCGTGTAATTTTTTAAATCAATTGAGATTCATTTTACGCAACGAAGGATCGAAAATTTCTTCTTTTTATTTATTTATCTTGGATATTTATTCTCTGGTTTCGCACAACAATTCTTCTCTTGAATAAAAGTTCGAAATAAAGTACGAAAATACAAATTGCCTCTCATCAATATTTAAAGCGGCAATTTCGAGAAATTAAGGACTGCCTTTTATTCGGCCGAGGTTCTCCTGCGAGAAATTGAATCTTTGAAAAGGGAGGAGGAGGAATCTTCTGGGCACGACGTCGATACCTGACAAAAATTCCTACCAGCGTTCCGTGAATGCAAATATTTAAGCTCCTCGAGACTCCGCCAGTCTCATTACGCGACTCCTGCAGCATTTACCAGATACTTTCAGGAATTTTTGGCAGCCAGTGCTCTCCAGTTCGTAAGATATTCGACTTGGATCGAACACGAGGCCTCTTTTCACCCATAGCCATTTCTAACTTGATAGCCAATGAATATTCCTCGTCGTTTCTAACTAGTTCAAATAAATCCCCCGATTCTCCTTCCGTCTACACTTTTATTTATCTTTACTTACTTATTTGCACTCCTTATTTGCCTCCTTTTCACGCTTTTCTCGTTTATCTCTCCGTTCATCTCTCTCTTTACTTTCCTTTTTACTTTCTCGAACCTCTATAACTGGAAAATCTTTGTAACGCAATTCTTGTTCGTTCCATTTTCGCTCTTCAACAAATCGAGATGCAATGCAATCAACTCGAAATTGTTTTGGTTTGACATCTGCGACTCGATGTCAGAGTCTATTATCATTTCTATCTTTACAACTTCGATCGATCAATTGAAAGCGAAAGGAATTTTTTTTAAAAAAATTCGAGTTATCGAGGTTCTACGATGCATCTCTTTCAACTTCATTTCATCGCATGGAAAACACATTTTGCAAAACAACGCGCTATTCGTGCTAACCGCTGACACGACGTTTACCGTGTTCGGTGAATGATACGAGCGAATGATTCGTGTTTAGAAGGTGGAGATGGAGAGGCAATGGCGAAGATAAAGACAGGAAACTGGAGAGGAGAGACCGATCGTTTGGAACAAGTGAAAGAGAATATACGTTAGTCGAGTGACGCGTCGCGAGAAATCCCTGAATAAGGTTAGGTCGGGGCGGAGAAAATGTCGGATTCTGCGCGTGCGCGTGCGCATGCGTCGAGTTCACTCGTTCCGTCTCTTTTGCTCGATCGTGCTAATTTTATTCTTTCTTGTTCACTAATTTTCTCTCTTCTTTTTTCTTTCTTTCTTTTTTTTTCTTTTTTTTTGCTTTTTGAAAGGTTAGCGAGTCGAAGCGGACGTGATTTAATTAAAAATTAACCCAAATAGTTTCTGATTTAAGTGTCACTTGATTTTCAATGGTTCAAACTCGATATTTTGGCTTTTAGACTTTAAAGCGGTTTTCGTTATCGCTCTTAACAGAGTTTTTTCTTGACGGAGCGTTGTAATATCGATTTATACATTGCTCATAAGCAGAAAATATCTATACGATTTTTGAACGAAAATCTGTCTAATTTTATCCAATAAAAAGAAAAATTGGGAAAGTTAACCATCAACAATTCCAATTTTCGTTCTTCTCGATCGAACTTTCTTTCTTAATATCTCAACAAACCTTTGTTTTTGAATTGAGAGAAAAACGTTTTATAAATTATTATTCCCCGTATCCGAATTCATCTTATACATGTGCGTGTTTCGAATTTATTTACATTATAGTTATAATATATCCATCTACCTATTTTTCCTCGCAAATAGAAGGCAAATAAATTATTTCAAACGCTACGCTACAAACCTTGAATTCGAAATTTAGATTTAGACGAGAAATATCACCGTTTCTACCCGCCAATCTTTCATCCTCCCCGACCAAGGTCTTTCCAATAATTCCACCATTCCTCTCTCTCTCTCTCTCTCTCTCGTCGACA